GCTCGGAATTCAGGAATTTTTGGGGTGCACGGAGGGTTTGGGGGTGCGGGAATGTCGGGTTTGGAGGGCGCAAAAAAACCACAAAAAAATCGGAATAAAAATCCGCAGGAAGTTGCTGAGAGGGTTTGGGGGTGCGGGAATGTCAGGTTTGGAGGTTCAGGTGTGCAGGCATTGGGGGGTGTTCGGGATTCAGGAATTTTTGGGGTCCAGGAGGATCCGGGGGTACACGGAGGGTTTGGGGGTGCAGGGGTGCAGGGATTGGGGTACGCTCGGAATTCAGGAATTTTTGGGGTGCACGGAGGGTTTGGGGGTGCAGGGATTGGGGGATGTGCAGCATCCATGGGATTTGGAGTTTTAGGGATGCAGGAACAGGGAGGGAACGTGCCGGAATTGGGGTGAAAGATGCCAGAATTGGGGCTTTCACATCTCCAGCAGCACGGGCGATGAACTCGGGGATTTGGAGTTTCAGGGGATGCAGAAATTGGGGGGAAATGTGCTGGAATTGGGGGGAAATGTGCAGGAATTGGGGGGGACATGCCAGAATTGGGATTTCACATCTCCAGGACTACCCCAGGGATGAATTCAGGGATTTGGAGTCTCAGGGACACAGAAATTGGGGGAAAACGTGCCGGAATCGGGGTGCAACACCCTGAAATCGGGGTGAAACACCCCAGAACCGGGGGTCTCGTATCTTCAGGAATACCCGAGGGATGAACTCGGGGATTTGGGATTTCAGGGATGCAGGAATCGGAATGAAACACCCCAGAACCGGAGCGAATCACCCCAAACCTGGATGAAACACCCCAAACCGGGGCGAATCACCCCAAAGCGGGGCGAATCACCCCAAACCGGGATTAAACACCCGAAACTGGAGCGAATCCCCCCAAACCGGGGCGAATCCCCCCAGAACCGGTATTAAACACCCCAAACCGGGGCGAATCCCCCAGAACCGGGTCGAATCCCCCAGAACCGGTATCAAACACCCCAAACCGGGTCGAATCCCCCAGAACCGGAGCGAATCCCCCCAGAACCGGTATTAAACACCCCAAACCGGGTCGAATCCCCCCAGAACCGGTATCAATCCCCCCAGCCCGGGTGGAACCCCCCAGAACCGGTATCAATCCCCCCAGCCCGGGTGGAACCCCCCGCCCGGGGCTCTCCGGTCCCGGCGCATCCCCCCGTTGCCGCGGTAACCGGGCCGGCCCCGCCGCCTCCCCGGGGCCGGCTCCACCTGCGGCCCGGCGGGGTCAGCGCGGGGCCGGCGGAATTAATGAAGGGGCCGCTAATGAGGCGGCGGCGGCTCTCCGTGTGTCGGGGGCACTCGCATTTCCAGAGCTCATTACGGGCTGCAATTAGGCTGCGGCACCGCCACATATTTAGCTCGGTTTTTTTGTTGTTGTTGCTGCGTGGTTTTTTTTTTATTTCTTTTTTTTTTTTTTTTTTTCACTCTTAAATTAGCATTTTAATAACGCCGCTGCCGAGCGGGGAGAACAACACCAAAATTGGCCGTTTTTCACGGGGAAAAAAAACTTCCCGGCTCGAGTTTAATGGCGCAGTTGTGAGGGAGAGAGAGGGGGGGAAAAAAAATGAACCTTTCCCGCCTATCCCAGCGGGAAAAAAAAGGGAAAAATGGAATGAAATGAAATAAAAAAGCGGGAGGGATTTTTATTTGGTTCATCGCGCGCTCCGGTTGCCGAATCTGCTCTCAGGGCGATTATTTGGGTTTAAAGCCGCGCCCGATGGAGAGGAGCGGCCGGGGCAGGTCGGAGCTGCGGGGACGGTTCGGGGTCATCCCAAATCCCAAATCCCAAATCCCAAA